CATTTAGGGATCTGGGACAAAAATGGGAGATTGGTCCTGCTTTGAGCAGGGGATTGGACTAGATAGGTGCTCCTGAGGTCCCTTCCAACCCCTGATATTCTATGATTCTATCACCCATCAGAGTGTGAGCTGAGCAGACAGGAGCTGGGCTCCAGGTCAGATGGAGAGAGGGAAGAGACTTGCTCTTGCGGCCCCCGAAAGAACAGCTTTTACACGGAGCTCAACAGAGAAAGAGAAACAGAAACCGGGGGTTGGGCCCCTGCCATGTTCAGAGCAAATGCCTGGCACTGGCTCTGAAAATCAGGGGAGTGAGTCCTGACCCCCTGCACAGCCAGGACACATCGTTCTTCAGTTACATTCAGCATCACAGGCCCACTGGAACGCAGCCCCGTTCACAGAACACCAGTGCACAGGGGAGCTCACAGCTCTGGGACTGGTGGGGCTGCCCCCCTGGGAGAGAGCTGTGCTCTGTAGACATCACTGGGCCCCTGGGAGTGAGGTGCTAGGCATATACCATCCCCCTCCATGGAAAGCACACTAAGGAGAGAGAGGGTTTAAATACAAGAGCAGCTGCTGCTCCCCAAATCATCTGGCTGCCCTCAGCGAGAGAGAGCCCAGCTCAGAGGGGAGCACCAGAAGGCAAAGAACAAAACCCAGGGCCCTTGGAGATGTTGTCTTGTCAACAGCAAAGCCCCCAGCACCTGAACTGGCCACACTGGCCATGAGTTATGCCCTGAGAAAAGGGGGTGGGGGCGGGGGAAGGGGAAGCTGGGCTCAGCAGCCTGGAGTCCAAACACAACCTGAGTTCTCCATGCACACACATTACTGGCCAGAGACTCAAGGCTGGTACAGGGAGTTGTTTGTATTCCCAGCTGTGTAGATCTCTGCTCTCAGACTGCATGGGATGTGATAGGCATTAGATGGCAAACTTCTCTGCATTGCTGAAGGATGCGTTGCTGATTAAGGGACAATTTAGAACCCCACCCCCCTTGGGGTTCAATGTGTTACCTCATTTAATCCAGCTGATTGGAAAGCTAAAAGCCTTGCCTGGAAGCACTGTAGGAGGGTGCAGAGACCCAGGATTCTTCCTGTGCTCAGGAAAGGGGAGAAGCAACTAGCAAGGGGAGCAGGGAGAGGAAAATGCTCCCATGGAAATTCCCAGCATCAGCCTTCACTTTGCACTTCTGGGCCTGAAATGGAAACAGCCTTGTACAGAAAAATCAATCCTCATCTGTGCAGGCTCCACGGTTGGCCTGGTGAAAAGCCTCCAGGACTCAGCAGGTGCCAGACAGTCCCTGGAATGAGCTCTGGTGACAAAGGACAAACTTCCTGGCACTTTTGCTCTCTCGCACTGGCAAAGCCACAGCTGGTAAATCCCATTTTGTTACTTTGTGGGAGTGTATGAGAGCGCATGTGCACGAGAGAGTGCGAGCGAGTGCGTGTGTGTGTGTCGTGCCTGTGAAGGGTGAGGACACACCTGCAGCTCCTCAGAGCCCAGGACTCCCCCATGGCAGCACCGTTTGCTGTCACGAGGCCCATGCAAGGCCAGCCTCAGTTCACCTTGTGCTTGTTTTCCTGACTTGGTTGCATACATGATGAGCTCAGCTTTGACAGCTCTGCAGAAGGAGGTGCATACTTTATTAACTCCGCTACTTTTTCTCTTCACTAATTAAAATCAGATTACATCCGAGGCATGTTGCACACTCTGCCGCTTAAGCAACCTGCTTTCCCACTCTGCTCTCTTCAGCCTTCTCCGGTGAGCTGAGAACAGCCCAGATCCTTTGCTGAGGTCGCTCAGGGCTGGGAACGCTACTGATCACAAGAGCCCTGGAGACCGAGTGCTGGAGAGCCTGGTAGGTTAGACATCGGGCCTGGGCCAGGCTCGCCAATCTGGGGGGTCTGTCCAGTGTTCTGAAGAACGGAACTCCATCATCCCCCTGCGAAACCCAACTGGTCCCTCAGAGAGGGGCAGGACGGGCCCAGCAGGCAGACAATGGTGGTACCACACTGGTTCCAGCTGGAGGCTTGGAGGTGTCACCACTGACTTCAGGAGTCCCCCCTGTTCAGTGCACCCTGTGTCTATGTGGGAGCCAAGCACCATCCCCTCTGTAGCCTGCTGGCCGTGAATGGCGCATATGACAAGCAGCAGCTTCATCTCAAGGCTCCAAGTGGTACTTGCTCTTGCTGGAGCATCAGCTCAAAGACACCTCGAGGAGTGAGCACAGGGCTGGGAATCAGGCAGGGCTCAGCTGAATTCCCAGACTTTCTGGGTGTCCTGGGGCAAGTAATTCCCCCTCTCCAAACCTCAGCTTCTTCCTCTACGAAGTTGGAACGGTTGCACTTCCATCCGTAGCACCAGAGTGCTGGGAGGATTCATCGGCTAATCTCTGTGCTCTGCCTTGAACATTGGAAGTGTTGTAGAACTGCACAGCACTGCTAACTTTGATTGGCTGGCTCTTGTCACTTTGTGTTGCAGCACACAGCCGCTGTCAGAGGACTGTGGATTGTGAGTCAGTTTGTTCAGTGCTCTACTGCCTGTTGTCTGCGTACCTAAAGTTTTAGTAATGTGATACAGAGTGCTAAATAAAAAGGTTGCTAAGAAAGATTTTCAATCTCCCGCTGCAGAGCTCCCCCATCTGTCACGAGGCACATGTTCCATCTCACCACAGATCAGATATTTGAGCAGCTTCCCATCCATCGACAAATGAACCAGCTCATGCAATTTGACAAATGAAGTAGCAAACGACGTTAACGTCTGTCGATGTCCTGTAGCCAGGAAGAACGAGCAGGCACAGTTTGTTTATTTTACAGAGCAGTTGCATGTCTGAGAAAAATGAGCGGATGTGGGTCCAAAGCCAGGCTGAGCAGAGAGTGAGCCAGCCCCACGGTGCCTCGGCTGTGTGGGGAAAGGGGGGCAGGGGATCGAGCCTCAGAGAGAGAGGTTCAAGAGTTAGGGTTCAGTTGGCTTCAGTTTCCCCGCTGGACTGGGGCTAAGGAATGGAAAGGCACGTGGACAGCAGCATGTACACAGGAGAGACCCAACACAGGGCTTGCCCCCCTCCCAACCACGCCTTCCCCCCTCCCTCCCCCACACAGGCGCACGCGGATGCCTGCACAGCTCGCGTGAGGAGCAGGCAGAGAGGAAAGGTAAACACAGCGACACAACAGCTAAACCCCAGACCCAACCCCGCCGGCTCCCGGGCCCCTCGGCAGCAATGACCCACTGAACACGGCGTAGTGGGCCCGGCAGCCAGGCGGGGCAGAGCATCTCGCGCCCCTAGCCGGCCCTGAGCGAGCTGGGTCACTACACGTGACTCAAAGCCCTGCCGCAGACAGCTGGCGGGGGTCAGCGAAGTGGGCCACACACTGACTGGCATCACTGTCACCTGGGTCAGAGAAAGGAACACACCTGCCTCAGGGAAACAGCCTACAGGATGGCAGCATCTCCAGGAACCAACCCAAGATGCCAGCGAGCTGGCAAATGGCTGACTTCCCTCCAGAAAGTGGCAATGACTAGATGCTCCAGCCCCTGCTCCCCTTTGCAACTGGGGTGCAGGCTGGGCCATGGCACAGAGATGGCTCCAAGAGCACCCCTGGATGATGTCCTCCTTATGGCTGTGCTCAGAGCCGCATTGCTTGGCTGCTCCTGCTTCTGCCTATGGTTTCTCTATTGCACATACCACTACCCACAGCCGTCCCTGGGCATCCATCCTCCTTTGTCTTGCCTTCAGAGTGGAAGCTCTCTGGGGCTCTGGGCTGTCTGCTAGTCCCCCATTAACTTCTGGGACCAGTTCATAGTCCTGGTCTTAAATGCCAAAGCTCCGAATGGTCTGGGACCTGGGAGAGTGCCTCCCCATCCATGACCCACCGAGCCAGGGGGCCACAGAAACTGTTGGTGGCAAAGGCATAGCTGCTGGGAGTCAGAGGCCAGGCATGCTCAGTTCTGGGCCCTCGACCCTAGGCGAGGGGGTCAGAATGAGGCTTGGTTTGTCTGAGCCCAGCGCATACGCAGCGTCGCACAGAACCCTGCTCCCCGTTACAGGGAGTCATTGGTGTACGTGGCTGAAGCATTGCTTGGCACGAGCGGAACCCGCCACACCAGTGGGTTTGATGCTTGCCTTAAACTTGTGTTAAATCACATTTCCTGCCAAGCTGCTGCAGCGAAAGGCAGCCTTTAAACACACTCATGGCTCCGGAGGTAAGAGGACCATGCGCATCACTGGGGTTGGTGGAAGGGCCTGGCCTTTAGTGCTGTGTCTTTGTGTCTAGTTTATTCAGTGAAATCCTGTCCTTTTTTGGAGCCCAGACAGATAGATTCTTCCGCTCTCTGACAATCAGGAAACGTTTCCTACACAGGGCTCCAGGTCTTCGGCTAACGCACTCGACAATCAAGTGCCCCGTCCTGTCCTTAAAGGGACACCTCCCATTAGCCAAATCCAAACACTACCACAGTATTACAAGCAAACAAATATTAACACAACACCCAAATGTACTTCAAAGTACAATGCTTTTGTAATATAAAATAGTTTCAACAATTATTCTAGGGTCCTGGAACTAACTTAAGGGTGTTCCCCATATTACAGGTATCATACCGAAAAACTAAACAACAACAACGCCAACCCCTCTGCGTTAAAGGAGTTAAAGTACCCACGCACCCTGGTTCAGCCCCCTTGTGCATATGCATCATGATACAGTCTTTAATTATGTGATTCCATATTACTCTTTTCCCACACGGGGAGTCAGCAGGGTTTGACTCCAGGACCTTCAGCCCAACCTCTTCCACTTGAGCTAAAGGAGTGGCTGGTAGGAGCAGTAAGCTGTTATCCTCTGTGTGCGTTAGCCCACAGTGCAGGGCACAGCACTCTTGGCCTACAGATTACATAAGCATTGGAGAGCCAGCTGTGGGAGGTTTTTTTTGCCCCTGCCCCCTAGACTTAGAAACTTGAAATATTTATTAACTTTTCCTCATATTTATTGCAAGATACAAGGGTAAAGAACAATTTTAATGGTAAGACTTCTGGTAGTGTGCATGGGCATCAGGTCCACCAAACTTCTTGGACTTGCAACGACGAGGATCTGCAACCGGTAAGGTCCTATCATACTGGATTAAGATGTCCTTGATTTCCTTCTTGGAAGCTTCATCAACATACTTCTGATAATAAGCCACCAATGCTTTGGAAATAGATTGACGAATTGCATAGATTTGTGCTACGTGGCCGCCACCCTTGACACGGACTCTGATGTCAACACCAGCGAAGCGTTCCTTGCTCAGGAGGAGAACAGGTTCGAGCAGTTTGTACTGCAGGGTTCTGGCTCAATCATTTCCAGGGGTCTTCCATTCACTTTAATGAGACCATTTCCTCCTTTGCAGTGAGCAACAGCTGTAGCTGTTTTCTTCCGCCTGAAGACTTGGACGCCCTGCAGGGGCCCTTTGGCCAGCATGGCTCCTCCTTCCACCAGGTAGTCCACCAGGTAGTCCACCAGTTCTGTACCTGGCTCTGGGGGCAGACTGTGGCCTAGTGATTACAGCTAGCTTAGATAGGGCACATTCAACCAGGAAAGCAGCCTGGCTGAGATTTGGCTCTGTGGTGGCAAAAGCTTGGGGTTCTAGTCCTAGATCTGCTTGAGGTGACCTTCCGCAGCCTCTCAGCTACCCTCTGTGTGAATGGGGGGAATGGCACTTGCCTGCCTCCTACAATGAGGGCACAAGGCCGTCGTCACCAGGACTATTTCTGTGCAGTTCATGCCCTTACCATCAGCCAGTAGAAGAGATAAGCCCAGAGCTCCCGGGTCAGTGCACTTCCCCCAGGCTGGTGTGTTCAGGCCTGGGGAGGGCGTATGAGCAGGTGTGGCTGGGCTGCCAAATGCAGGACTCTTGACCCCTTCTCCTTGTATATCGCCCACCCCTCAGGGAATCAGGTGACGGCTGCTGCCAGTGCAGCTCCCCTGCATCCCAGAGCCAAGGGCTGGGGCAGTTGGCTGTGGGTGTTTAACCCTCTGCCTGCCAGAGCCGCTTTGGGGTCCCGTCACACTGTCACGCTGCCCTACAGACACTGCCATATTTTCTAGGCACGTCCCATGAGCCCCCCAGGTTCCCAGGCCCCACAGCAGGCTGCTCAGCACAGAGCAAACATCATTTTCAAAGGCCCCAGGAGGGAGGCGGTGGGGCTCCAGGCCAGCCCGGTCTGGCCTCCCTTAATGAAGCCATTAGATTTGGACTTTTTCCTTAGGGGGAAGGGGAGAAAAATGCACAAAAGGAAAGCCTTTTCCAGTGGCCCTTGTGCCAGGGCTGGCAGGAGCCATGTTTGGAGCAATACATCATCAAGGGGACAGTATCTAGTGATGTATTGCCCTAATACATCACCATAGCAACACTGTTCTAATAATGTATTATTCTAATGTGTTACCCGAGCGCACATTCTCCCCCATGATGTATGGCTGGGATCACAGCGCTTCGCAGAGCCCCAGACGCAGCAAAGACTCTTCCGAGTCCAGACCACCAGGCTCAGGGCTAGGCACGCTGCCTAATGGGACCCACATCCCAGGCTGTGAACAGGGTCACCTGCTCGTCAGCTGGGGAGACGCCTCGAGCTGCACTAGGGGACGTTGCTGGAATCTCTTCGCTTTGTGATAAGCACCAGCACAAATCCAGGTTTTCTCACCCCCCCCCCCCCCCACAAACTCACTCTCCTGGTGGTAATAGCCCATCCAAAGTGACCACTCTCTTTACAATGTGTATGATAATCAAGTTGGGCCAAGATGTGCTGGCTGGAGAGTGAGCAGGTGCTGTGCAAGCGCCCCCCCCCGCCCCCTTCCTCCACACAGCTCTGCTGAGGCACCTCTGCCCAGACCCACAGCACCCACAGCTGTTCAAGGCCTGGGATCTCCTGTTGCCCCTCAGCCCTGACTTGCAGCCCTTCTGGTACTCTGCACCTTCCTGAGATGATTCACATTCTACCAAGGAGAGAGTCACACCCATGCCCCCTTCCGGAGGACGATTAACCCCCATGCACCGTGGCTGGTTCACACCTGTGCTGCCCACCGCCAAGGTTGGGTTGACCTTCTCTCCCACCCTTGAGGCAGAGCCGCAGGAAGGGGAAGCTTTTCTTATTTGTGGAAATGTCAGTCACAACTTGAAAAGAATTCCTCTCCTGGCATTTCCAAAGTTCAGAAGGGAAACTGACAGGCTGGTTTATACATTTCCCCAGCCCCTTCCAAGGTATTCAGGGCTGCAGAGCACTCCCAGAGTCAGTTATTAACAGAAAATACCAGCTGGAATTCTCCTGGTTCTGCTGCCACAGGGAAAGCATTGTTTTCGATTCACACTATCTTTTTGACCATCCAAATGTCATTAATTCAGTCACCCCAATGCGTAGGACAGTTATCTGAAATGTTTTCCCAAACAGCTTAGTGAGTATAGAGCAACAATTCATGGAATTGCTAGCGGACATCTGTGTAAAGCAATCCACAGCAAAGAGCTTGTCAGGCAGTGAATGCTTTCTGTGTGGACGCCGGATTCCAAAAAGGAACAGCGAAGCCGAGAGACAGAGAGCCTGAATGAATGGCAGGAGAAATCATTTCATCTATGCAAATTCATGCCAACCTCTATGCCCAGCTGTCGTCAGAACGGAGCTCTGCCCCTGCACACTGACATGTCAGAGGACTTTATTGTGGCTTAGACTTTCCTTCCACCAGAACAGAAACCATTCATGGCACAGTGAAAGCGTCCACTTGACATTCCATGCAGCAGGCTCCTGCCTTTAGCAGGTTTCCTAGGAGAGTCTCACCACCAGGCTTCTTCCTTATGGAAGGGCCCCACATGGCTAAGTGCAGCCTCAGGGCCAGACAAGAGCTGAGAAGCGTTTGCAGCGAGGTCTGCATGATACAGAGGCCATCTAACAAGGCAGCTCCTCCGCTTTGAGATACAGAGACCCCTGCTGAAAGCCATCGATAGTTGGAGCTCACTTTTAGAGCTTGTTTTGCTTATGGCTTATTCCTTCCTCCGCTGGGACGGGAGCTGTAGAGAATGCTGCCTACCTGGAGCTGCTGGAATCCCCATAGACATACTCACTGGTTAGCTGATTGCAACAGCGGCAAATAGAGCCAGCTGGGGTCCCAAATCGGATGTGCCCAGCACTCCCTCTGCGAGAATGCCCTGGAACCTGAGCAAGGACCAAGACTGGATGGGAGCCATTCCCAAGCCAAAACCTTTGTCAGGGGCAGTTTGCTGAGCTAGAGAACTGCTGCAAAACCCTGGGGAGTAATCATAATGGGGGAGGCGACAGAGGCAAGCTGCCTCATGTTCTGAATGATTATCCCCAAAGTCAAGCCCCAGTGCAGTCAGAATCGATGACAGCGATGTGCCTCATCTCAGTATTTATTCTCTCTACTACAGCAGCACCCAGGGGCCCCGGTCAGAGATCAGAGCTCCATTGTTCTAGGTGCTGTACAAACACATCATGCTAGCGGCTATAGTGGCAGGAGTCAGAGGGGCGTGGCACGTGGGAGGAGTCTGCTGAAACCCAGAATCGTTCCCACTTTATAGCACATGGAGCTCACATGGTAACATGTTCAGAGAGGCCCTCAGAGAAGTTCATGGCTGCCCCAGGGCTGGGCAGAGCGTGGCTCAGCCGTCCTCTGGGGAAACTGATTCGCCACCCTGCGACAGCATCACTAGCAATGGCATATAACAGATTCCAGATCATTGTGGCTCAGTATCATGAGATGCCCACACAGTTCTTCAAAAAAGAACGAGCTCAGTTCATGGAGGAGAGGTCCATCGACGGCTATGAGCCAGGATGGGCAGGGATGGGGTCCCTAGCCTCTGCTTGCCGAGGTGACGGGGGATGGATCACTTGATGATTACCTCTTCTGTTCAATTCATTCCCTCTGGAGCACCTGGCCTTGGCCACTGCCGGAAGACAGGACACTGGGCTAGATGGACCTTTGGTCTGACCCAGTCTGGCCGCTCTTATGTTCTAATGCCAGGAGCCAGCAAGGGTCTGCTATGATCCAGCGCTTACCAAGCTGGCTGGATTTTATGGCCTTCCCTGACAGGGAGAGATGTCAGGACCCACAGTGGCTCAGCAAGGTGAATTTTAAATGTAAATGCCACTGTGAGAAGCAACATTCAAAATGAAAGGCCTGGTCTAAACCTGCCCCCCAGCAAGGAGCCCAAAGTGGTGCAGAAGCAGGGCTCTTCCTCTCCCTGTGTCGCATGGCCGGGATGGCTATCTTGCACCCTCCACAGGAAATGCTTTGCAAAGCACCAGCTTAGACATTGGCTGCAGGTAAACGGCACCAGACACTCTGTGTTTGGTGATCTCCCAGCCAACCGTGGGATGGTGCAACCTGCTTTACTGAGAAGGGGGGCTGTTGTCCAGGACACCAGGATGATCCCCCTTCAGCTTTAATACCCTTCTACAATGTTCCCCCAGAGATGAGCAGAAGGGGCCTGGGTTCCAAATCTTCTTTCCAAGTTCCCTGTGTCAGGATGGCACCCAATGCCGTACCACTAAGGGGAGACTTAAACCTCCCACCTCCTGACCCTGTGGCACAAATGCTGTTGTCGTGTACCAGCCTGAACAGCCCCTGGCAAGAACTCTGCTGTGCAGCCCCATTGAACTGGCAGCCAGGGTGCCCAGGAACGTACACCGTTGGGACAGCAGGGGTGCAGAGGAAAGCAGGAGTCAGGCGCAGCCCTGATATCTCCAGGACAGCAGCTGAACACGTGCTCCTGTGCCCATCATGGTGGTTGCCATGCGGCTGTGGAGAGTTTTTGGAGATTGCCCAAGATGTGAATCCTGTTTGTTGCCACAATCAGGCCAAGTTCCTGGAGCTGCTTCCTGAGTCACATGGGCCCACCCACATTTCCACCTTCTTCATTCAAAGTGGTCATTCATTCTCAAGAGCTGTAAGTGGGGCTGGCTGCTCTGGAGTGGCGCCTGAGTGTACTTACAAGCAGGGCCATTACTCTCTCCTGCCGGGGTCTGCAACAGAACTTTAGTGGGGTTGTACAAGAGCAGAGTGAGTCCCAGCGTGTTACAGCCCTGTTCATAAGTGTTGGCTGTAACTAATGCAGGCCGCCTCCCTGAGCTGCATTTACAATGCTCCAGGAATCCACCTGGGCAGAGATTCCAATCTCTCAATGTTACAGGAGGACGGCAGTGACAAATTACAATGTCTGCAGCAGAGAAAAAGGGAAACGGAGGGACCCAAGGAGGAATGATTGCATTATCAATAACACTTCCAATAGCTGATGGATGAGGACACCCAAATGATTTTTAAGAGTTTCAGTGGAAATCTTCCAAATGGCAGAGAGGGAGGTAGAGTGTATATTAATCCAAGTCCTGCTGAGGATGTCCTGTGGGGCTGGGCGTACCGGAGCCACCCGCAGGCAGAATGTGTGCTTAGCATCACACTTTAGACAGCACATTTAATAG